AAAACGATGGCCCAGCTCAGTGGGCCGCGGTGCATTGGTAGCATGGGCTGTGGCCTGGAGGATGGTAGGACGAGTGTGCGACGAGGACTGCGCTGTTCCCATCGCACTTCAGGGCCGCACTCCAGAAGGCATCTCGAGCACCCAGGCAAGAGTCGAAACGAGGCGAAGGGTCGGACGAGTGTCGCCTCCCAGGGCCCGACACGCGAAAACCCTCTTCGGGCAATCAGATGCTCGACCGTAGAGTGCTTTTGGTCCTTGTTCAAAGTTCCCGACGGCGTCTCGGCCGATCGCGCTGGCCACCCAGCAAGAAGCCTCTTAAGTGCACTCACAACAGCACCCCAAGACACCAAACTTGCCGCATTCCCCTGGGAAAACTTACATCTCTAGCATACACGACTTGTCTGCCTTCACGGCGTTGAAGATGGCCCAAGGAGTCCCCAAGACCGCCCTAAGGCAGCCCAAGACGCCACCAAGAACGCCCCAAGACAGCCCAGAAGAGCCCAAAACCGGCCCAAAAAATAGCCCAAGAGCGGGAGTCCGAAACAACAATTCGAGTTTTCCGCCTCACGATGCTCCCAGGAGCCTTCAAGAGACCCCAGGAGGCCCCAAGAGACCCCTCAGACGTCCCAAGAGGCTTAAAAAAATGGCGCGCAAAAGGCTTCAAAATTGTCTCCAAGGCGCCCCCGAGAAACCCTGACATGACATCCGAACGATGTGGACGAGGGGCGAGAAAGCAACAGAAAGCAGAAGAAGGCAAGAAGCAACAGGACGGAGAACGATAGCCGCGCGAAAGATGAGTGAGGAAAGCAAGGCAGGATGAGAGTGAGGAGTCAAGCATGTTCCGGTTTGCATGTCCCAACGCCTCAGGCTACCCAGAAACAGAGCGAGCGCGGAGCGCGCGCGAAGTTTTTTAGTCACAAGAGAACCCAAAACCACCAGACGTCTAGCACGCCGTGCACCCATATGGCATGCCAACAGGAGGCGGCGGATCGAAGATGCCTACGACGAATCACCGCCGCCCCCTGCCGTTTTGGAAGCGCCTGTGTGGCCCACAGCTGGGCTATAGCTTGGCCAAGCTATCGGGCCAGTTGTTCCCCGAGTCGGTTTGGAAAGCCTTCGGGGAACGCGTGGGGGGAGCATGGGGAGGAGGATCAGGAGAGGGAGAAGGAGGATGGTTAAGACGAGGATGAGGATGAGGATGAGGATAAGATCGTCAACGGTTTTCGCCTTACTGGAAACGCTTGTGTGGCCGAAAGGAGGGTGAGAGCTTGGCCAAGCTATCAGAGGAAACGCATCTCTGAACGAACGTGGTAGTTAGAGCTTGGCCTAGAGATTGGACCACTTGTTCCCCGAGTTGATCTGGAGGGCATTCGGGGAACGCGCACGGGAGGAGGAGGAGGAGGAGGAGGAGGAGGAGGAGTAGGAGGAGGAGGAGGAGGAGGAGGAGGAAGAGAAGGAGGAGCAGCAGCAGCAGCAGCAGGAGGAGGAGGAGGAGGGCTCTTGGGAGCCTCTTGGGGCACTCTTGGGGCTTCCTGGGAGCTTCCTGGGAGCCTCTTGGGGGCCTCCCTGGGCCTCTTGGGGGCATTGGGGGACTTCTTGGGGGCCTCTTTGGCCGCCTGACGGCGCTCCAGACCCGTCCGACGCTGTCGGAACCCTTCTTGGGGGCCTCTCTGAACCGACTTGGGGCCCACTTTGGGCGCTTCGGGGCCGTCTTGGAGGCCATCCTGGGCGTCTTGGAGGCCTCTTGGGCCGTCTTGGAGCCCTCTTGGGGCCGCCGTAGGAGTCCCTAGGGCCGTTATATGGCCATCTTGGAGGCTTCTTGGGCGATCGTGGGGCGACTTTGGGGACCTCTTGGGCCGTCGAAAGGCCGAAGACGCGCAAATGCAAAATCCTTCAAGCAAGTAGAGCAACTCAATGATTTTGGCATCTTCGGGTCCTCCTAGGAACCTCCTGGAGGCCTCTTGGGTCGTCTTCGACGCTTCTTAGGGGCTTCTTGGGCCGTCCTGTAGGCTTCTTGGGCGGCTTCGAAGCATCTTGGGCCTTGTTGGGGCGTCTTGGAGGCCATCTTGGGCTCTCTTGGGCCCTCTTGGAGGGCATCTTAGGCCATCTTGGGCGAACTTGGAGGCCTCTTGGGGCCGTCGTGAAGGCTTCTTGGGCCGTCAGGAGGTCATCATGAAGGCCGTTGGGGCCATCTTGGCGCGATATTGGAGGCCTCTTGGACCGTTCTGAGCCGTCGGAAGGCCGAAAAGAAGCGCATCCAAAAATCCTTGAAAACCCCATTAATGTGGCCTTTTCGGGTCCTCCTGGGGATTGGCTCGTCTTGGAGGCAAATTGGAGCCATCGTCGCCGTCTTGGAAGCCATCTTGGCCGTCTTGGATGCATCTTGGGGACCATCTTGGGCCGTTTTGCAGCCGTCTGGAGCAGGGAAAACCTTTGCAACCAGGTGTTGAGATCCTTCCTGGGACCAAGGCGGGACGGGCCGAAGCCCCAGGGGGAGTTCTTTTAGAAAAAGGACCAAAACCAAAACCCATATCATCTGGCACGCCAGCCACCCCGTTGCTGAAACAAGAGGGGGCGGCGGATCGAAGACGCCTATGGCGAATCACCGCCGCCCCCTGCCGTTTTGGAAGCGCCTATGTGGCCGAAAGTTGAGGCCAGACTTGCCAAGCTATCGGACCATGTGTTCCCCGAATCGGTTTGGAAAGCCTTCGGGGCGCACGTGGGCCTCCTGTGCCGTCTGGGGGGCCTCCTGGGGCCGCCTAAGGGGCCCTCTTGGGCCGTTCTGGGGCCATCTTGGAGGCCTCTTGGGCGATCTTTCGGCGATCTTCGGGGGCTCTTGGGCCGTCTTGGGCCGTCGGAAGGCCGAAAAGAAGCAAGTGTCAAAATCCGTCGAACACCTTAGGGAAATCCATGTTTGGGGCCTCTTCTGGCCTTCCTGGAGGCCCTCTTGGGGGTCTCTCGGGCCGTCTTGGGCCAGCTTCGAGCCAACTTCGGCCATCTTGGTGGGTTCCTGGCCCGTCTGACGCCGTCGGGAGCCGTCTTGGGGGCCTTTCTGGGCCGACTTGGGGCCCTCTTGGGGCGCTTCGGGGCCGTCTTGGAGGCCATCTTGGGCGTCTTGGAGGCCATCTTGGGCGTGTTGGAGGCCTCTTGGGCCGTCTTGGGGCCGTCTTGGAGGCCACTTGGGCCGTCTTGGGCCGTCGGAAAGCCGAAAAGGCGCAAATGCCAAAATCCTTCAAAAACCAAAGGAAAATCAATGATTGTTGCCCCTTCGGACTCTCCTGGAGGACGTTTTGGAGGGCTCTTGGGCCGTCTTGGAGGCATCTTGGGGCCATCTTAGCCGTCTTGTAGGCCATTTTGGGCAGTTGTGGAGACGTCTTGGAGACCATCCTGGGCCATCTTGGCCGTCTTGGAGGCCTCTTGGGGCCCTCTTGGGGCCGTCTTGGGGGCCTGTTGGGCCGTCTGGGGCCATGTTGGAAGCCTCGTAGGCGATCTTGGGGGCCTCTTGGGCCGTCTTGAGCCGTGGGAATGCCGAAAGGAGACAAATTCCAAAATCCTTCAAAAACATAAGGAAAATCAATGATTTTGCCATCTTCGGGCCTTCTTGGCGCACCTCTTGGAGGCCTTTTGGGCCGTATTGAAGGCCTCTTGGGCCGTCTTGGACCATCTTGAGGCCATCCTGAGGCTATCTGAGGCCGACTTGGATACATCTTAGGCCGTCTTGGATGCATCTTGGGGCCATCTTAGCCGTCTTGGAGGCAATCTTGGGCCGTCTTGGAGACGTCTTGGAGACCATCCTGGGCCATCTTGGCCGTCTTGGACGCCATCTTGGGCCAACTCGAGGAAACAGAGGCAAGACGGATGCGTTTTGAGATCCTTCCTGGGACCCCGGCGGGACGGGCCGAAGCCCCAGGGGGGAGTTCTTTGGGAAGAAGAACCAACACCAAAACCGAGAGGGTTTGACACGCCAGGCACCCCTTTGATAAACCAGAAGGGAGCGGCGGATCGAATGGCCTTCGGCCCATGCCGCCACCAGTGCCCGGGTGGGCCACGGGGCCTGTCGGGATCTCTCTGGGCGAGGCTCTCGGAGGTCTCCTGAGCGCATCCCGATGCCTCTTCCCAGCCTGTTGGGGGATGTCGGCGGCATTCTGCCTGGGCGGAGAGAATGTCTCCGGCCCCAGGCCTGGCGCACCCTCCGAGGTGAAATTGTCGACAAGAGCAGGACTTCTTCGGTCACGTCTGCTTCCAGAAGGCTCACGCGGAGCACCCTGCAGTTAGGTCGGGCCTGCGCCTCTACAGGAGGAATATATTCAAAAATAGTCGAAAGAAAACGTATGGGGACGATTGTTTGAATCTGTCTTATTATTGTTGAGTTATTTCTTTACTATTGCAATATTTCCTCCAAAATCCGCCTGTAGGAGGACATGCCCGACCCAACCCTACAGCCAAGACGCCGAAACGAAGAACAGTGTGTCCGGAAGGGGCTCGACGTTCCTTTGAGTACTTCTGTGGTTGCTTCTCTGGCGCTCCTCGCCCACGCAAGCGTTCTTGGGACCAAGAAGGAGTTTCGGTCATTATTGTTTAGCGTTCCTTAGTTCGGCAGCCCGACCGTAAGAGCATCCGGCAGCGCCCAGGAGTTCCTGCACATCGGCGGCCCAGGCTTTCAGGAACGCTTAAGTTCCTTCGCACACTCTCGACTGTATGAGTGGGGGCGCTCCACTACGTGCTCAGGCCACGGTGGCAGATTCGATACGGGGCAAGCCCGCACCACTCGGGCTGGACCACCTCGACTTCTGCTATTTTGTGGGCGCGTGTTGCGCGCATCTGGTTTGACCACGGCCCTGCACGCACCTGGAAACCAGCCTTTTGGGCGGGCGCGGCGGAGGAAAGGAGCTTGAAGCAGGGCTGGTACGAGCGATCTGCCCGATCGAAAAGCAGAAGGCGTAGCCGTTCGCCCGGATGCGTGGGGGGGGGAAAGAGAGAGTCGCTCGCCCGGGGAGGTCATGCACAGGGCTCCCACGTCGGCGTCTGTCGCGGCCGCTGCTGCAGCCGCGTGGCTCTTGGGCTCGAGGCCCGCTCCGCCCCAGAGCGGGGGGAGAGAGCGCTGCAGCGGCATCGGCAGCGCTTCCGCGTCCCCGCTCGACGTCTTGTCTTATTCGGAGGGGTCGTAGGAGGAGGAGGATCACCACGCCAGAGCCGGGTGATGGTGGTCGCTCGGCATGAATGTTCCAGGTGTTGTCAGAGGAGAAGAATGGAGGGAAGGGAAGAAGGGAGCAGGAGGAGGAGGAGGGGGCAGGAGGAGGAGGAGGAGGAGGAGGAGGAGGAGGAGGAGGCGGAGGAGGAGGAGGAGGAGGAACAGGAGGAGCAGGAGGAGGAGGAGGATGAACAGGAGGAGGAGGAGGACCAGAGCACATCAGCGCAAGATGCATCAACGATGTTGCAATACCTCCTACAGTATCAAGCCCCCTCCCCACAGGTCCCCGCAGGCCTTCCTTCGAAAGCAGCGCCCCCTTGAAAGACTTTCTTGGACAGGAGCGCAGGATGCATCAACGATGCTGCAATACCTTCAACCGTATCAAGCCCCCTCCCCGCAGGAGGTCCTTGCAAGCCCTCCTTGGAAAGCAGCGCCCCCTTGAAAGCCTCCCTTGGAAAGCAGCGCAGGATGCATCAACCTTGCCGCAGCACACCCTACCGTATCAAGCCCCCTCCCCACAGGAGGTCCTTGCAGGCTTGATGGGTGCCCCAGCACGGCGACAGCATCGGCTCGTGGAAGCTGCACTTGGCCTCCCAGCACAGCTCCTCCTCCTCCTCCCCCTCCTCTTCTTCTCCCCCCTCCCCCTCGCCTCCTCCTTCTCCTCATCCTCCTCCTCCCCCTCCTCCTCTCTTCTCCCCCCTCCCCCTCGCCTCCTCCTCCCCCTCGCCTCCTCCTCCTCCTCCTCCCCCTCCTCCCCCTCCTCCCCCTCATCCTCTTGCCTTCCCTGGAGAGCAGCGCCCTCCCCCTTGCAAGACCGGCACCCTCTCTCCGGGCCTGACACAGGTTCGGGCGACGCCCCCCCTGCTGACAAGAGGAGCCGCACGGCAGCCTTGTGCAGCGCGTAGTCTTAAGTCGGGCACGTCCCTCTACAGGAAGAGCATCAAAAATAGTTAGAAAACAGTCTGGGGGCGATTGTTTGACTGTTCTTGACTATTTGGGGGTATTGTTTGACTATGTCTTTTTTTTCGCCCAAAATCCGCCTGTAGGGGGACGTGCCCGACCTAAGCGCAGTTGGAAGGAAGGCGTAGGAGAAAAAAAGGCATGATGGCACAGGGCAACGAGGTTTCCGCATTCCAAAAACTTGTTTTCCAATTCACAAAACCAGGAGACTGGTTTGTGAATTCAAGAAAAAGGAGAATAAAGGCGTGATGGCACAGGGCAACGAGGTTTCTGCATTCCAAAAATGGGTTTTTGAGTTCACAAAACCAGGAGGCTGGTTCTTGAGTTCAAGAAAGTGGAAGAAAAAAGGCGTGAGGGCACAGAGCAACGAGGTGTCCAGCGAGATCCCCGTCTCGAGAAGGACCGCGCCCATCGGTGTAACTGATGCTCGAGCCTACACCTATGGTCATGAAGCTCGAGGAAGTCTGAGGCGACGGCCAACTTTTGAAAAGGAGCCGCCTTCGATCCCCGCGGCTGCTTCATGTGTCCAAGGTTCTGGTGTGCACAGTTGCGGAAGTCTCAAGCGAGAGTCCCAGTTTGAAAAGGAACCATCTTCCATCCTGCAATTGCTGTGACATGTGACGGGAAATGTGCGCGGCCACAATCATGCAGCCCCATATTTGAGAACGACCCCCCTTCTGTATTTCTAGTTGTTGGGACGAACGTACACGGCGTTGAGGCGAGAGCCTGATCTGGGAAAGGAACCGACTTCCATCTTTGTAAGTGTTGCAAGTTGTAAGAAGGAATGTTCGTGGCGTCAAGGCGACAGCTAGATTCTGAAAACGGCCTCCCCTCCATCAACGCAACTTCTGCAAACGTTTAAGACAAATGCGTGCACCGCTAAGGCGAGAGCCCAATTTAGAAAACCACCTCCCCCCATCGTTGCCATTGATGGAAACTTTCAAGACGAGTGGGCGTGCTACGACGATACCTCCAAGTTGAAACGACCCTGCATCTATCCTTGCAGCTGTTGCACATGTCAAGCTTCAGAACCATACGTGGTGAGGAAGACTCAGGCGTAACGCCCAATCCGCCCTGCCGTCACGCCTGAGGGCGCGGCAGGGAGGAGTTTTTTCCCCAACCATCTTGTGGTGTTGGGTCCTCGTTTTGAAGAGACGGTCCCCGCGTTCCTCCTCCTCCTCTTCCCCCTCCTCCCTACCGTCCGCATGCGTCCCGCACACCCAGTACAGCGCTTCGTGGCCCCATAGGGAGCACCACCGAAGGTCCCAGTGCTACCGTCCGCATGCGTCCCGCACACCCAGTACAGCGTTTCGTGGTCCCATGGGGAGCTCCACCGAAGGTCCCAGTGCTACCGTCCGCATGCGTCCCGCACACCCAGTACAGCGTTTCGTGGCCCTCCTCTTCCTCCTCCTTGCGTTCCACCCACCCAGTACAGCGCTTCGTGGCCCCATAGGGAGCCCCACCGAAGGTCCCAATGCTACCGTCCGCATGCGTCCCGCACACCCAGTACAGCGCTTCGTGGCCCCATAGGGAGCCTCACCGAAGGTCCCAGTGCTACCGTCCGCATGCGTCCCGCACACCCCGTACAGCGCTTCGTGGCCCCATAGGGAGCTCCACCGAAGGTCCCAGTGCTACCGTCCGAATGCGTCCCGCACACCCTGTACAGCGTTTCGTGGCCCTCCTCTTCCTCCTCCCTGCGTTTCACCCACGCAGTACAGCGTTTCGTGGCCCCACAGGGAGCCCCACCGAAGGTCCCAGTGCTACCGTCCGCATGCGTCCCGCACACCCAGTACAGCGTTTCGTGGCCCCATAGGGAGCCCCACCGAAGGTCCCAGCGCTACCGCCCGCATGCGTCCCGCACACCCCGTACAGCGCTTCGTGGCCCCATAGGGAGCTCCACCGAAGGCCCAAGTGCTACCGTCCGCATGCGTCCCGCACACCCAGTACACCGTTTCGTGGCCCTCCTCCCCCTCCTCCCTGCGTTTCACCCACCCAGTACAGCGCTTCGTGTCCCCATAGGGAGCCCCATCAAAGGTTCCAGTGCTACCGTCCGCATGCGTCCCGCACACCCAGTACAGCGCTTCGTGGCCCCATAGGGAGCCCCACTGAAGGTCCCAGCGCTACCGTCCGCATGCGTCCCGCACACCCCGTACAGCGTTTCGTGGCCCTCCTCCCCCTCCTCCCTGCGTTTCACCCATCCAGTACAGCGCTTCGTGGCCCCATAGGGAGCTCCACCGAAGGCCCCAGTGCCCCCGTCCGCATGCGTCCCGGAAGCCCAATTTGTCATTTTCACCCACCCAGTGCAGCGCTTCGTGGCCCCATAGGGGGTTCCACCCAAGGCCCCAGTGCCACCGTCCTTATGCGTCCAGGAAATGTAATTTGGCATTTTCACACGCGCAGTGCAGCGCTTCGTGGCCCCATAGGGGGCTCCACCGAAGCCCCCCAGTGGGACCGTCTGCATGCGTCCCGGTAACCCAATTTGGCATGTTCGCTCACTCAGTAGAGCGCTTCGTGGCCCCATAGGGAGCTCCACCGAAGCCCTCAGTGGGACCGTCCGCATGCGTCCCAGAAACCCAATTCGGCACACCACCCACACAGTACAGCGTTCCCCCCCGCCCAGCGCAGCGCTTCGTGGCTAGGGAGCTTCACCGAAGCAGATATTCACAATTACGGTACCCACAACTGCATATGGTTGGGGCCTTCGCCAGGATAATTTGTTGCATGGGGCGAGGATGTATGCCCGAAGCGGGGGACAGGAGGAGAAGAGCCAGGGGCAGGGAGAGGAGGAGCTGAAGGAGGAGGAGGCGGGAGGAGGAAGAATTGGCGAGTTCGCGAGGGCCCGCAGGCCATTTCTCCCGGGCCTTGCACCGACGCGCAGCGTAGCAGCCCGCCTCCTGTTGCAACGCCTTCGGACCATCCTCGCCCCCGGCGGAGGCAAGGGGAGGTGACAGCGGCACGTCCGCAGAGGGCTGGAGTCAGGGCTTCCGGAGTCGGCCACGCAGAGAAAAGAGAGGCCCTCGGCCTGCACGAGAGCGCGGTGGCTCGAGACCCCTCCCCTCCTCCTCCTCCTCCTCCTCCTCCTCCTCCTCCTCCTCCTCCTCCTCCTCCTCCTCCTCCTCCTCCTCCTCCTCGTCCTCCTCCGAGGAGGAGGAGGAGGAGGAGGCGGAGGAGGAGGCGTCCCCCGTGCCCCTCTCCGAGGACGGCAGCCGACCCTCGCTTCCGCTCACGACCGCCCTGCAAAGTGCCCGCCAACGACCGGCTTGCCAGGGCATCCCCTCCACCCGGCGGCCAGTTGGGTTTGCGGCCCAGCAGCGTTCACATTGTTCATGTCTATTTGTTTCGAAAGTTCTTTGATTTTTGGGGGGCCAAGATCCTTTCATCTCTAATTGTTCTATCCTGGGCCTCTTCCTGGCCACTAGGGGGCCAGGAACAATTAGAAACGAGCACAATTGGAAATGAGCACGATTAGAATTGAACGACTGGTTCTTGCCGACACTGGGGCATGCCCGCCCGAAGATTGCCGCCCAGGCTTGGAATCGACCGCTTGCGTAGCATGGCTTCCCATAAACTTTCGGCGCAAGATGGCTCGTGCAGCGTGCGCTGATCGGCGCCCTGTTGTTTCAAACTCTGGAGGCTTTACGCTATTTAATTGTACCCAGGGCTCGCGCCCTCACGCCCGGGTGGTATGGTGCCAGGAGCGTTGGTCGCGGTACCACATAGTCTCGACACACCATCCCTCCTCATTATCCCCCTCTTCCTCATCAGCATCAGCATCATCATCATGCAATGCTACTGGCATCATCATCAGCAGCAGCAGCATCAGCATGATCATCATCATCATCATCAGCAGTTTCATTGTCGTCGTCATCATATTGGTCTCTCTCTCTCTGTCTCTCTCTCTCTCTCTCTCTCTCTGTTTCTCTCTCTCTCTCTCTCTCTTTATCTCGCCTTCCTCCTCTCGTTATATCTTGTTTGTCTCTCCCTCTCTCTCTCCCTCTCTCTCTCTCTCTGTCTCTCTGTTTCTGCTCTATAAATATATATATATATATATATATATAGTTAAATATATCCCTCTCTCTCTCTCGCTACCTCTCTATCTCTCTCTCCCTCTTTCCCTCTCTCTCTCTCTCTATCTATCTCTCTCTTTCTTTCTTTAGCTCTCTCTCTCTCTTTGGATACATGTATGCATATACAATTCGTCCTCTGATGATTTTAGATATATCTCTCCCTCTCTGAATATGTATATGTTTACATACATATATGCACACGTACATACATGCATACATACATGCATGCATGCATACATACATACGCATATGTCATCGCTCTCTCCCTCCTCACGTAATCTCATCATTATCCTCATCCTCCCCCTCGTACTTGTCATACTCTCCTCCTCTCCTCCTCTCTCTCTCTCTCTCTCTCCCTCTCTCTCTCCCTCTCTCTCTCTCTATCCTTCTCTCCCTCTCCTTCTAATCGGACCTCTTGTCGCCTGTACCTGCTGTACCAGGGGCCCTGCTGGGGCTGCCCGGGGCGCCCGTCCAGGTCCAGTACCCACCGGCTGTTGATCGGTTGTGGCCGCAAAAAGACCCCGAGTCGGGCCGAGCTCTCGAGATTGCCGTCTGCGAGTTATCTCGAACTAGGCTCGGCGTCACCCCAACATACCTATACTACAGGTGCGTCGCCCCCCCCCAGGGGCGACGCGCGCACCGAGATATCGTGTAGTACATGCGTCGTGGCGGGCGCTTTCTGGCCACGCCGCTCGGGAAATGATGTACTACAAGATGTATATACCATATGTTCGGGTCGGACACGCGCCTCCAAGAAGGACATATAGTATTAGTATCTCGCTGTGCGTCCCATAGGCCGTCGTATGGGCCGTGAGGATTCACGCCAGTTGTGTTCGACCCAGTGAACGAGGGCTTGGGGCCAGTGCATGGGCCCGCTACGATCATAGGTCATGGAGCGTCTCACGTCGTTACGTAATCCCGTTGGTATCCTCCTCTTCCTCCCCCCGTTCCTCATCGTCCTCCACCCCTTCCCCTCGTCATAGTCGTTGTCGTCGCCGCCGCCGCGGCGGCGACGGCGGAAGAGGCGACGACGACGACGACGACGACGACGACGACGACGACGACGACGACTGCGGTGGCGGCGGCGGCGGCGGCGGTGGTGACTACGGCGGCGGCGGTAAACGACGACAACGACGAGGGGAGATCCGCTCTGAATCGGTCCCAAGACCCTGGAACCCTCTCGACGACGCCCACAGTTTCGATGGCGGCGGCGGCGACGACGACGGCCGCGACGCCCACGCCCACGACGGCGGCGGCGGCGACGACAATGGCGGACGGCGTCCGCGACGGCGGCCGCGCCGCCGCCCCTGCGGAGAGGTCCTTCTCCGAGGGCGGGCTGCGCGGAGTCGGCGGGGGCGCCCGCTGGCGGGTGCCGCCGGGCCGGACGGCCAGGGCGGCGGCGGCAGGCAGCGGAGAGGGGAAGGGGCGGGCCCCGACTTCCCCAAGAGGCCCAGGCGCCTTGTTCCCAACCATCCTATGGTGTTGAGTCCTCGTTTTGAAGAGACAGCGCCCCGCGTCTCCTCCTCCTCCTCCTCCTTCTCACTCCTCCTCCTCCTCCTCTTCCCCCTCCTCCCTCCTCCTTGCGTCTCCCCCGCAACAGTACACCGCTTCGTGGCCCCATAGGGAGCTCCACCGAAGGCCCGAGTGGCTGCGTTCGCATGCACCCACCGCACCCATTCCGGCACACCTCTTACACGTTTCGTGCCCCCATTGGCCGCTCCACCGAAGGCCCGAGTGGCTGCGTTCGCATGCGCCCACCGCACCCATCTCTTCACACCCCTCACACGTTTCGTGGCCCTATAGGCAGCTCCACCGAAAGCCCGAGTGGTTGCGTGCGCATGCGCCCATCGCACACAGATTGGCACCCCCCCTTACACGCTTCGTGGCCCAATTGGCAGCTCCATTGAAGTCTCCAGTGTCTGCGTGCGCCCACCGCACCAATGTCGACACACCCCTCACACGTCTTGTGGCCCCACAGGGAGCTCCACCGAAGGCCCCACTGGTTGCGTTCGCATACGCCCACCGCACCCGTGTTGGCACTTCCCTCACACGTTTCGTGCCCCCACACGGGGCTCCACCAACGGCCCCAGTGGCTGCGCTCGCATGCGCCCACCGCACCCATTGCGGCACACACCTTCACGCGCTTCGTGGCCCCATAGGCAGCTTTACCGAAGGCTCCAGCAGCTGTGTTTGCATGCGCCGGGCACACCCCTCACACGCTTCGTGGCCCCATAGGCAGTTCCACCGAAGGCTCCAGCGGCTGCGTTCGCATGCGCCCACCGCACCCATCTCGGCACACCCCTCAAACGCTTCGTGGCCCCATACGGAGCTCCACCGACGGCCTCACGGGCTGCGTTCGCATGCGCCCACCGCATCCATGTTGGCACACCATCACACGCTTCGCGGCACCATCGACAACGCCACCGACGTACCTCGTGGCTGCGTTCGTACGCGCCCACCGCACCCATTTTTGGCACACATACACACACACACACACACACACACACACACACACACACACACACACCTCACACGTTTCGTACCCCCACAGGGAGCCCCGTCGAAGGCGCGAGCGGTCACGTTCGCATGGGCCCACCGCACCCATGTTTGGTACGCCCCGTACACGCTTCGTGGCCCCATATGGAGCCCCACCGAAGGCGCCAATGGCTGCGTTCGCATGCGCCCACCGCACCCAGTCTGGCACATCCCTCACACGTTTCGTGCCCCATAGGGAGTTCCACCAAAGGCCCAACTGGCTGCGTTCGCATGCGCCCACCGCACCCATGTTGGCACACCCCTTACACGCTTCGTGCCCCCATAGGGAGTTCCACCGAGTGGCTGCGTTCGCATGCGCCCACCGCACCCATTTTGCCCCCACAGGGAGCCCCATCGGCAGCCCTGGTGGCTGCGTTCGCATGCGCCCACCGCACCCATTTTTGGTACACCCTGCACACGCTCCGAGGCCTCATGGGCACCTCCACCAAAGGCCCCAGTGGCTGCGTTCGCACGCGCCCACATAATCCACTTTTGGGACACCCCTCACACGCTTCGTGGCCCCATAGGGAGCTCCACCGACGGCCTCAGTAGTTGGTGCGTTCGCACGCGCACACCGCACCAATTTCGGCACTTCCCTCACACGTTTCGTTGCCCCATCGGGAATTCCACCGACGGCCCCAGTGGCTGCTTTTGCATGCGCCCACCGCACACATGTCGGCACACCCCTCACACGTTTCGTGGTCCTATAGGAAGTTTTTCCGAATGCGGTGCATACAACGACGGTAATCACAACTCCGTATGGTTGGATCGCTCGCCAGGCTAATTTTTGTCCGGCGGCGAGCGAGAGGGGGAAGTTCCGAGTTTGAGGTCTTCGGATGTTTTCGTCGGTCCTCGACGGTTTTCCAGCATCGGGATGCGTTGCAGCGGCTGCGCCTCGGCGAGAGCGTTTTGTGGGTGCCGGGATCGTCCCGAACGGTCGCCAGAGACCCGAGTTATGACCCAAAAACCAAATTCGGCGGCGCGCCCAGGGGGGAAGTGAGAAGGAAAAGGCCTTCTCAGGAGGCGGCGGGGCTTCTCAGAAGCACTCGCGCCCTCTGAGAAATTTCCTGCGCCTTCGGTGAAGGCTCAGAAAACTTTTCAGAAGGCCAGGGGATGTCCAAGCCTTCTGAGAAGGCCCGCCCCTTCTCACTTCCCCCCCGGAGAAGACGGGTGTGGAGATTAGCTCACCCGGTTACGGCGCTATCTTCTGGGAAATGGTCGCTGCGCGCTACTATGTGGGATGCCAGCAGGAACAGACGAGCAAAAGGTAGGCTCCCGAATCGTCTGCACAAGAGGTGGGCTGACGATATTTGCGCCTACGTACAATCGCAAAGGTATGATGCGAGACATGACAATTGGTTTATTTTGCCTTTCTCGGCTGAGCAGTGGTCGGTACTTGGAGACGGCTTCCAGACCCAAGTGAGCCTCGTTTGACATCATGTTCCCCGAAGCCTCTCCGGGAACATGATCTCCTGGTTCCCAGGACGCCCAAGAGGCCCACAAGACAGCCTCAGCGAGGCCCCGGAGGGCCCGAGATGGCTTGAAGATGGCCGAAGAGGGCCCCAAGAGGGCCTTCAAGAGGCAAAAATCGGCCCACGTAAAACGTACATTTTCAGCATGCTCGCTTGCTTCGTCTTCACAGTGCCCCAGACGCCCCCGAGGAGCCCCAAGACAGCCCAAGAGAGACCCAAGACGGCCCAAGACGGCCCAAATAGGTCGTACTGTGGGGCTCACCGAACCCCTCAAGACGGCCCAAGAGGCCCCGAAGCCGGCCCAGGAGGCCCCCAAGACGGCCTCAGGGAGGCCCAAGAGGGCCTCGTTCGAAATCATGTTCCCAGAAGCCTCTCCGGGAACAAAATCTCCGGGTTCCCAGGACGCCCAAGAGGCCCACAAGACAGCCTCAGCGAGGCCCAAGAGGGCCCGAGATGGCTTGAAGATGGCCGAAGAGGGCCCCAAGAGGGCCTTCAAGAGGCAAAAATCGGCCCACGTAAAACGTACATGTTCAGCATGCTCGCTTGCTTCGTCTTCGCAATGCCCCAGACGCCCCCGAGGAGCCCCAAGATAGCCCAAGAGAGACCCAAGACGGCCCAAGACGGCCCAAATGGGTCGTACTGTGGGGCTGACGGAACCTCCCAAGACGGCCCAAGAGGCCCCAAAGCCGGCCCAGGTGGCCCCCAAGACGGCCTCCAGGAGGCCCAAGAGGGCTTCGTTCGAAATCATGTTCCCAGAAGCCTCTCCAGGAACATGATTTCCGGGTTCCCAGGACGCCCAAAGATAGCCCCCAGAGGCCCCAGACACGCCGACGATGGCCTCAGGACGGCCGACGACGCCGCCAAAACGCCCAAGGAGCGCCTCCAGAGGCCCCTCCAAAGGGCCCCAGAAGCCGAAAATTATAATTTGTCCAAAGGTTTTTGAAGCATTCTTGCGCTATCCCATGCTCCGCCTCCCCACGATCCTGGACCGCGTCAGAGGCCCTTCAGATCGCTCCAAGACGGCCGAAGAGGCTCCCAAGGAAGCCCAGAGACGGCCCAGGAGGCTCATAAGTCAAGAGGGCCCCGAGAGCGCCCCAAGAGAGCCCCAAGAGCGACCCAAAGGGCCCGAAGAGCGCGACATTTCAAGGTCTCCGGCCTGAGAGGCTCCCAAGAGGCCCCCCTGGAAGCCCCAAGGGGCCCCCAGGGAAGCCACCTGCGGGCCCCAAAGACACTTCGGTAAATCGTATTTCCCAGATAGCTTTCCGGGAACATGATTCCTTGGGCTTCCGCCCACCAGCCCAACCATGTTTCCAATAGGCTTGCCGACAAGGCCAAAAGGCGCCCCTCGGTAAGCCCCCAGAGGCCCCCCTCTTAGAGAGCCGAACAAATCATGCTCCCGGAAAGCTTCCCAGGAACATGATTCTCTATCTCGGAGTAGGCCCGGAGGGGGGGGCGGGCCGCTGCCTGTTCCCCCCATCGGTGCCCACCTGGGGGTTGTGGGCGGGGTCCAGAGCTTCCGAGGCGGCCCGAGCCCGCCCAGAAGCAGGCCACGACAGGCTAAGAGGATAGACGCCCAAGATGCCCTCAAGACAGCCGACGAGGACTCCAACACGCTCCAGGACGGACTCAAGAGGCTCCCCAAGAGGGCCCTGGAAGGCAAGATTCAGTCGTTTTCCGAGTGTTTTGGATTTTGGCGTTCTCGCTTTTCCCGCTTTCCAGCGCTCCCTTCACGGCCTCGGAGACCCTTCAGATCGCTCCAAGAAGGCCCACGAGGCCCCGACGAGGGCCCCAAGACGTCCCAGGATGCTCCCTAGACAGCCCAAGTGTGCCCCAAGAGCGCGCCAAGAGAAGGCCCAGAGGGGTCCCGAGGCGGCCGGGCCCGCCCCGAAGCAGGCCACGACAGGCTAATGGAAGTCCCCAGTGGGCCCTAGACGGTCCCAAGAGGCTCCGAAGACGCCCAAGCTGCCCTCAAGACGGCCGACGAGGACTCCAACACGCTCCAAGACGGACTCAAGAGGCTCCCCAAGAGGGCCCAAGATTCATTAATTTTCTTATGATTATTGAAGGATTCAGACGTTCTCGCTTTCCCCACTTCCCAGCGCTCCCTCACGGCCTCGCTCGGAGGCCCTTCAGATCGCTCCAAGACAGGCCACGAGGCCCCGAAGAGGGCCCCAAGACGGCCCAGGAGGCTTCCCAGACAACCCAACTGTGCCCCAAGAGATCCCCAAGAGAGGGCCGAGAGGGGGACCGCCAACCGATATTTCGAGGTCTCTGGCCCTAGAGGCGGGAGGCCACCAAGAGGCTCCCACGAAGCCCCGTGAGGCGCCCAAGAGGCCCCCAGGAAGCCCCAAGAGACCCCCAAGGGGCTCCCAGGGAACGCCCAAGAGGACCCCCAACACACCCCAAGAAATCAGATCCCCAGAAAACCTTCCGGGGACATGGCTCATTCATCATAGGCCCGAGAGTTCCCGGAGGCCCCCAAGGGGCCCCCAGGGAACGCCCAGGAGACCCCCCAACACACCCCAACAAACCATGTCCCCAGAAAGCCTTCCGGGGACATGGTTCATCATGGGCCCGCGAGTCTCCGGAGGCTTCGAAGTACCATCATGCTACAGGAGAGTTGTTTGGGAAGTTGATTGGGAACATGACTGATCGCCTTCTCGCGGCCCTCCGCAGATCGTTTTGCACAAAGTTGCCCCAAGTGCCCTCTTGAACCGACGACGACGACGAAATGACGAAGACGACGACGACGACGACGACGACGACGACGACGACGACGACGACGGCGACGACGACGACGACGACGACGACGACGACGACGACGACGACGACGACGACGGCGCGCCCCAATAGGCGACGACGACATTACGACGACGACGACGACGGCACGCCCCAACAGGCTCCCCAAGACGCCCCCAAACCCATGGTCCCAGAAGGCCTTCTGGGAACCCGATTCATACGGCCTCCGCCCCCCTACGCAACCGTTTTCCTCCAAGGCCTTTCGGAATGGAGATTGGCATGCGTGTACTGTGGTCCACTACTTCAGTGGAGCAGTGAATTCGTCGAGGCCTGGGGCTTGCTAGAACCTGAGCGCGCGCGAAGCGCGCGCGATGGTTCAGGTGTGTGTATATAAGTGTATACACACATCCATATGTTTATATATAAACATACATACATACATACATACATACATACATACATACATACATACATACATGCGTACATATGTTTATAGATGTGTATATATGTATATACATAGCTACATGCATATCTACTTACCTACCTACCGACCGACCTACCTACCTACATACATACATACACACATATAGATATATGTGTAAAAGCGTATGTATATATATATAGAGATATATATATATATATATATATATATATATATATATATATATATATATATATATATATATAGCGGAGTAGGCCAGGGGGGACCGGGCCAGTGTCTGTACCCTCCATGGGTGCCCCCTTGGTTTTCTGGGGGGGTCCCAGAGCTCCCGACCAGGCCCGCCCCGAAGCGGGCCACGGCAGGCTGAGGCGGTGCCAAGAGGGCCTACCAAGACGGTCCCAAGAGGCCCCGAAGATGTCCAAGATGCCCTCAAGACGGCCGACGAGGACCCCAACACGCCCCAGGACGGCCTCAAGAGGCTCCCCAAGAGGGCCCTGGGAGGCAAAATTCATACATTCTCCGAAGGTTTTTGGAGGATTTTGGCGTTCTCGCTTTCCCTGCTTCCCAACGTTCCCACACGGCCTCGGAGGCCCTTCAGCTCGCTCCAAGACGGCCCACGAGGCCCCGAAGAGGGCCCCAAGACGGCCCAGGAGGCCCCCCAGACAACCCAAGTGCGGCCCAAGAACGCCCCAAGAGGGGGCCCAGAGGGGGACCACGAACCGATATTTCGAGGTCTGTGGCCCTATAGGCCCCCAGTAGGCCCCATAGACCACCAAGAGGCCCTTCGGAAGTTGACTGGGAACACGACTGGTCGCCTTCTCTGCCGACGTCTGCCGACGACGAAGACGACGACGGCGCCGGCGGCGACAAAGACGACGACGAACTTCGAACTTCGATGTTCGAAACTGTTGTTCGGCACTGTCTGCCTTCGGGGGCCGTTCTCGGGCCCTGGGGTCGTCGGGCTTCGATCTGGAGTCGAAAACTGCGCATGGCTCCTGGGAGGGGTCCATCCGACGACGACGACGACGACGACGACGACGACGACGTCGACGACGTCGACGACGACGACGACGACGAAGACGACGAAACGACGAAGACGACGACGACGACGACGAAGACGACGAAACGACGAAGACGACGACGACGACGACGACGACGAAGACGACGAAACGACGAAGACGACGACGACGACGACGACGACGACGACGACGACGACGGCGGCGCGCCCCAAGAGGCGACGACGACATTACGACGACCACGACGGCACGCCCCAACAGGCTTCCCAAGACGCCCCCCAAAACCAGATTCCCAGAAGGCCTTCTGGGAACCCGATTCATCAGGCCTCCGCACCCTCACGCAGCACTCTTGCTCGAAAGCTTTCCGGAATACGGATTGACATGGTTTCTCATTGCCCATATTGCGTTCAGCGTTATGGACGTTTCTTCACTTCCCGTTCAAACCATCTGTGGTCCACTACTTCAGTGGAGCAGTGAACTCGTCAAGGCCTGGGGCCTGCTAGAACCTAAGCGCGCGTGGTTCTAGTGTAGCTAGATGTATATAAATGTATGGACTTTCTGACCGTCGCCGTACTCATTGGTTCCTCGGTTCGGTATGTGATCGGGGTGGGACGGCTATGGCGCGTGGTCTTTTTGTGAGCTTCGATGTGTGAAGAGGCCCTCTCGAAGCCTCTTGGGAGCCGTTTTGGGACATTTGCGGGCCTCAAATGGGTTTCAGTGGGGCCTCTCGGGGGCATGCTGGCGGCTTCGACAGCCCTCATTGGGGCGGAGGGCTCGAAATCTCAATTCGAGCTCCCCCTCTTGGACCCTTCTGGGTGCCTTATGAGGCCCTCTTGGACAGTCCTGGGCTCTTCTTCGGCTGTTTTGGGCACCCCTTGGGGCGCCTCGGGGCAGGGGGCCTCCTAGGCCGTCTTTGGACACCGTGAAGGCCGAAGCGTGGCATATGCTAACATGTATGGTTTCCGATGGGAATGGGACGATGTTGCCCCTTGGAGCTCTGTTGGTAGGGCTCCTGAGGGCCTCTTGGGGCGTCTTGGAGGCCTCCTGGGCCGTCCGGAGGCCACCTGGAGCGTCTTGGACCGATCGCTCGGCGAATCGGGGCTTTCGTGGACGGTCTGGAAGGCCTCTTGGAGCCCTTTTGGCCCGTCTTGGGGCTCTCTTGGGGCACTTTGGGGCCGTCTGAGGCCCTCAAGGGGCGCTCGCGACCAAGCCGCCCCACCGGGCCCCAAATCGTACAGGAATAGTTTTCTATGTACACAGGTATTCTTTGTAGTAGAACAGCTATACATAGACATATATACACACACTACAAATATATGTGTACATATATGTGTATGTATAGATATATATATATATATATATATATATATATATATCCGTAGCCATTTTGGCTCAAGGCCAAATGGCGATTTCAGAACTGCCTATGCGGGGTAGGCTCCCATCCAGCCCTCATTCAGCTCTCAAGTCCAGGTCAGCCCCTGGCACAGCTTCTAAGCCCAGGTTCGCCCCTGGCCTCCATATCTCAAGTCCTGGTTCGCCCCAGGCCTCCATGTCGAAAGTCCTGGTCTGCCCCAGGCGCCAGCTGCCATGCTTCCGCGAGTGCAGGCTGTATATGGAGGTGGCCCTGCTGCTGTTGGCGCTAGAACTGCTGCCGCCACTGGCAGCTCTCGTGGTCCCGCTGCGCGTGCTGGCGCTGCCGATGACCCCCTTCATGGAAGTGACCCCTGGCGTGCAGCTGCTGGGCGACAGCAAGAAGATCGAGGGAAACGGCTCCGAGGTGACAACGGCACTCCAGGAAGCGCCTCGGCTACATCCAGTGGAGCAGACACCGTGGACCCCATGGACGCCGTCAACGCCGCCATCGCAGCCTCGCAGGACTTCCTCACAGCTCAGCTCGACTCGAAGCTGGCCTCGGTCAAAGCAGAGATCACCGGCGAGTTCGCAACCCAGCTCAAGGGTCCCCTCGGCGCGGTGGTCGGACAGCAGCAACAATGGAACGCGCAGTTCACGGGCCAGATCCAGTCACTACAGGCCACGTCGTCGAAGCTCGAGGCCGAGCAAGCAGAACTACGTGCTCAAATTGCAGAAATGCGACAGCGGCTATACATGCAGGAGGCACAGATCCCCATCAAGGATTACGAGAACCTCATCGAATGGGACCGACCAGCAGACACCAGCATCATCGTGGGCACGGTTGCGGAGAACTTCACGCTCGACGAATTCAAGGCCAGCATCCAGCCCATCATCGACAGATGCGAGCTCGACGACGGCGAGTGGGAGGCAGTGGGCAAGAGTCCAGCGCGTCGATTCCTCATCCAGTTCGGTGGCGACGCGAATGCCTCTGCTCGACGTGTCCGCACTGTCTACAGCAAGCTCAAGGGCGCTGACGGCGAATGGCTCAACACGATGGTCAACAGCGTTCACGGTCAGCGCACACGTCTCGTCCTCGGTCTCGATCGCAGCGGCAAGACAGCGAGGCGAGAGTTCCAGACCAAGAAGCTCACCCAGATCTGCAAGACCCAGCATGACACGAAGCGCTGGCGAGGCGACCGCCAGCAAGGGATCATCTATTGCAACAACCTGCCCATCCTCTCCATCTCCGTGGGTTCCACAAAGGAAGAGCCGACCAAATTGCTCTTCAACTACCAGGGTTGCCTCACGCACGGCATCAACAGGGAGGACGTCCGCGCGAAGTTCGAAGAGGTCTTCCAAACATCCTTGCACGCGCAGAACGTTCAGTGGCAGCTTTAACAAGACGCTGGCCCCTTGGCGCAGGGCACAGTCTGATGGCGCCATCACTTTCACTACCTGGAACACGCGAGCGCTCCTTTGCCAGGACCCGCTCAAGTGCAAGAAGAAGGTCACCCACATGCTGCAGGTGCTCAACTCCACGTCGGCGCTGGCCTTGCAGGAGGTGCACGGCTCCGAGACGGAGCTCGCCCACGCCCTACACCTTGGCCACAAGTCTGCGGTCATCTTCACCTCCATCCCTGAGCGCGGCACGGGAGGCGTGGCGATTGTGCTTCCTGGACTCTCGCAAGAGGAGGCGGCTGATCCTGACCGCTTCCGTCACACGGCACCTGTACCTGGCCGCGTACAACGTCTCCGGATCAAGTCGGATCTCACCGGTGCACCCGAGGGCGCTCAGCCGCCCATGGTGGCGATCTACAACGTTCGCAACTTCCGGAGCTCAGCGTCGCAGAGCAGCAGCCCGAGCGCATCACAGTCATGATCATGGGCGACTTCAACTTCATGGACGAGGCCCCGCTGGAGATGACGGCCCCGCTCGTCAACAAGGGGCTACCCAGGCTACGCAACGTCCACCCTGAACATCAGCTTCTCTGGGAGCAGGCGCTTGGCGACATGATCGAGGTGGACCCCGAGCTCCCCGCGCACTACACTGAGCACTCCCAGCAGTGCACGCGCATCGACAAGACCTATACCAGCTCGCCGCCGCGGCTCTTGAGACAATGGCGCGCGAAGGTCGACATACCCATGGCGCCTGACATGCTCTATGACAAGGGCATATCGGACCATGCCCCAGTAAACCTACGCCTCGCAGCCCGATCTCGTGAAGATCGCAAGTCGCAGCCGATCCCGCAGTATATCTTCGAGCACCCTCTCTTCACCAAGTACTTCGACCTGCTGGTCAGCCATTCCGACCTGGACAGCTACACGCCCTTTGTGCGCCTCCAGGAGCTCAAGCGCCTGATCCGCGAGGCGGCGCGCCTTACCCGCAACGACCTGACAGACATGCATGCACCGTGCTCGGCGGCAGCTCTCATCACTTGCAGGGCGATCTCGAGGGCGGCCCAGCGCAATGACTGGCAGAGCGCACGCACGCTGAAGGCGCGCACTGAGCTCGGTGACCAGTTCTTGGACATCTCTGACCCGAACAACATTACGCTGATCGAGCCTGGCACGTTTCGCCGCGTCTTCGAGCAGCACCAGAAGTCGCACCAGGACCAGCGCACTGAGGCCCTGCAGCAGGAGGAGTCCGCCGCTGACACGCCCTTCCAGCAGCGGCAGGTGCTCCGCAAGATGAGGAAGGCGATCCAGAAGCGCGGCAAGCTCTGGGCCCCAACGGGCAAGACCCTCAAGCTCAAGGCTATCGAGGCGATGCACAACCACAGCACCGCGGAGACGCCTGCTGCCATGATCGAGGAGCTCCGTCGGCAGTGGCCCCCAGTCTTTCAGGCGAAGCCGAGCCACCTCCAGCACGTAAAGCGCTACCTCGAGAAGCACATCGTTCCGTATGACTGCACGGACATGGACATCCCCACTTTGGGTAAGATGAAGCACCCGATCAGCAGGCTCAACAACTCGGCGCCTGGACCTGACGGGATCCCCTACATGGCCTGGAAGCGGATCCCCTCGTCGGCGCAGCTCATGCTCGACGTCACCATCGAGATCATGCAGGGCTACCCTGTCCCGCTCACCTTCAATGACTCGCTGATGATCTTCACCCCTAAGGGGTCGGAGCCTGCTGACGAGCATGGAGCGACGAGGATGGCGAAGGCAACTCGTCCCCTCTCTCTGAAGAACACGGACTGCAAAATCGTCGCGGCCATGGAGAATGAGCTGATGAAGCCGATCGTGGCCAAGGGCGCGCACAAGGCGCAGAAGGGCTTCTTACCGCAGAGGCGCTTCATTGAGCACGTGGTGGCGATGGACGCGCAGGCCCGCATCGTGGCCATGCAGTCGGACCCCGTGGAGAAGGACCCGCCCCTGGTGCTCTACGACTTCGGCGACGCGTCCCCCTCCATGTGCAGGGTCTGGCTGAACGCCGCGCTGGAGATCGCAGGCTCCCCGCAGGGCATCCGCAACATGGTCGACGCGATCTACCTCCTGCCCGTTGCCTTCGCCAACCTCGGAGGCACGCATGAGGTGTTCTGCGCGCTGGCCTCGGGCATCCCCCAGGGGTGTCCGCGGTCGGGCACTCTCTGGGCCGTCGGCATGGACCCGCTGATCAGGGACATGCACACCCGCACGGGCAGCTTCAAGGGCGCTGTCATCGGCGTCTGCGCGGATGATGTGGGCAGCGTGATGCCTGCGCTGAAGATGCTGCGCCCCATGTTCAGCGTCTTCTACGCGGCGGAGCTCTTGGCGCGCCTGGTGCTCAAGACGGCGAAGTGCGAGATCATCCCGTTGGCGGACTCCTTCTCGCCGGCGGTCGTGGACAGGGTGCGCGCCAAGATCGAGGCGCTGGTCCCGAAATGGAGCGGCACGACGATCACGGACATGGCTGAATACTTCGGGGTGTTGATGGGCCCGAGCGTGGATAACCTCAAGCGCTGGCAGAAAGTGGTGGCGGGCTGGCAGCGCGCGACCAACCTGATAGCGGATGCGAGCGCCCCGACTCCGACCTCGCCGATGCTCTACAACCAGAGGGCGGTAACCAAGATCTCCTACCTCACCCAGCTGTTCCTGTGGCCGCCCAAGATGAAGCGCAAGGAGAACTGGGCTCTTCACCGCACCTGGCACCTTCCTCCTCAAGCGCTGCCACGAGATGATCTACTACGCATCGGTGACTGGTCGCCCTTGCTGAAGGCGGTCTCGCTCGAGCTCAGCAACAGGGCCGCCCTGATGCGCAGCGCCACGGACTCGGCGAAGAACTGGCCGCACTGGGCAGCCAAGCTCAAGGAGGCGGCGGCGGTGGCATTGCCCTTCTACGACCAGACGCTGGGCATGCATGCGCCATCGCACTGGCGCTCGCCGCCGATTGCCCTCACCTTGGAGGAGGCAGCTGGCGGCTTCCCGGACGACCCGAACGAGCAGTTGGCCACCGTGTGTGGCCAGGCACTGAATGAGTGGCGCGCGGAAAAAGCTCGCCTGCCTGTTGCCCGCCCGAACGCACGCTTGCGCATGCAGAAGCATATCCACTCTCACCTAGTCCCCTCACTCCTTGTTGATCGCCTCCCCCCCCCCCCCCCCCCCCCCCCCCCCCCCCCCCCCCCCCCCCCTCGACCTTCCTCACCCGCCTCAACTCCTGGTCGACAGAATCACAGCCATACGTGCAAGCACAGATCGAATGGGAGCCGCTCAAAGAGCTGCTCAAGTCTGATTTCTCTCCTGCGTCTCACTCCGCCCTCCTCAAGACTTGGGCGGGGGGATGGACCACGAGCCGTCGCCTGCACACGCGTGACAAGAGTGCAAGCGGCCCATGTGTTTTCGGCTGCCAGCAGTGTGAAGCTCCTGATGCATCTGACTCCATGTCTCACTATGTGCATTGCGCTGACATGTGGCACGCAGTCTACACGGTGTGGCACGTACGCTTGCATGCTCCGTGCTCGCTTCTTGCTCGTCTGGGCCTCTGCAGCGGAGAATCGGACGAGTATCCCCAGCGTGTAGCGCTGGAACGCACCATCATTGCTTTTCATTTGTACAACATTCAGTCGAAACTGCCGCCAGTGAAGTGGACACTTCCAGAGGAGGCTGTGGATAGTGCCCGTGCTGCGAGGGCGCTCTTCTTTTCAACGCACAAGCCTGCTGCTCAATAGTCTGTTTGACTCATTGTGGCGCGCACGCACGAGCGATATTTATATATATATATATATATATATATATATATAGATGTGCGCGTGTGTGTGTTCAGGCGTGTAAATATAAAAGTGCGTACTGGTGTGTAAGTGTTTCTGCCTACAGATGTGTACAAATAACATTTGAGGCATTCCAAAAAGGGCTATGCATTCGAGGATCGAAGGAGTTGTCATCTCTTCCGCGGTGGAAGGCGGCGGAAGGTCGGCGGAAGTAAAACGAGGCCGCCCCGCCGGCGGAAGCCGGCGGATGATCGGCGGAAGGTGGCGGAAGTAAAAAATGCGTCCCAAAGAGATGAAAACGTGTTTGGAATCAGGGTTCCCGGAATTGCCCTGATATAGATATAGATATACATAAACATATAAATATGTTTGTGCGTACGTACCTATACATACAGGTAGACACAAAGATATCTAGCTAACTGGAAAGATAGCTAGATATATAGAGCTAGCGGGGCAGATGAGGCGCAAAGAGGTTTGGCAGAGGCAGCCCTGAGGGGGAAAAGAGAGAGAGAGATCAAAAAAAGAGAGAGAGAGAGAGAGAGAGAGAGACAGAGAGAGGGAGAGGCAGAGAAAGAGGCAGGGCAGGCCCTGAGCGTGGAGCTGATGCGCCGGAAGACAGCAAGGCCCGCGGCCATTTGCCCCTGAAGTCGCAGTGTGGGGGGAGGGTGGGAGGGGGGCGCGCGCTGCGAGGCCCGAGTGAAGCCCTGTGCGCGGCCCCAGTCCCCCCCGCTAATTTTCCGAAGGATCTCGAAAAGAGCAGGGGCAACGACGCGGCGGGGGACTGGCCCAGGGGGGGAAGCATCGACCCACTATCGCACATTGGTCGCCGAGCGGGGTATGTGCGCCCCGCCCCCCCGCACAGTGTGGTTTCGCTATCGAGGGCCCATCTCGACAATCTATCGGCGATGCATCGCCGATTCCAAGTAAATGCTCCCCCCCAACCAATCCCCTCCCCCAGTCGTTCCGCCTCAGAGGGGGCCTCCCCTAGCCCCCAGACCCACGACGTAGTGATTTGTTCGCAACGTGGACCCCCCCGAGGTCTCGACACCTTCCGGGGGACAATCTCTTCATCCTGAGTAGATGCTTGACGCCCTCAGGGCCTAGAAAGGCCCCCCAGAGGCCGAAGAAGATCAAGGCTGGCCGTCGTGGCATTTTCACGACGCGAGGATGAATGCCCACCCCCCGCTCCTCCACATTTGCTGAACGGAAGTACTATCCTCTGCGTTCTCCGCGTCTTGAGCGCCTGGTCAGGGAATCGACCTCGTGGCGCCGGTCCTCATGGCGAAGCCGAGTCCCACCGCAGTCGGCTTGTGACGCCCTGTGTGTACTGGTGTAACTACCCATTTTCCTGGCCACAGCTAACCATTAGTCGAACATTGCAGGAGCGCTTGGGTTGCCGTATGCTGTGCTTGATCACGGCGGCGAGCCAGGGGGGGAAATGAGAAGGGCCGGGCCTTCTCAGAGGGCTCGGAAGCCCCCCGACCGTCTGAGAAGTTTTCTAAGCCTTCCCAGACGACACAGAATCTTCTCAGAAGGCCGGATGGCTTCTGAGAAATCCCGCCGCCTTCCGAGAAGGCCTTTTCTTTCTCATTTCCCTCCCTCGCTCGCCGCCGATGTTCGAAGACAGCTTTCATGGCGCCTACGAAGCGAAGCGAAACGATCCTCTGCTCTCTCTGGACTCTGCCCCCAGTGGGTCGCCGCCTCTGTCTCGCACCGCTCCTCGTTGCGCTTCGGAGTTCAGCAAGTGGCTGTTCATATGGCACGTTCGATCGGAACATCTTGATGTCTCAAGATAGTGGGGCGTCGGCCTCATTTTCAGGATCCGCGCTGTGCCCCCGTCGTCCAGAACGGCGCTGTCCTACCCAACGCGGCCCACACTTCTGGATCCGAGCCTTTCCTCGTCTGTGTTGCCACCCCTCCTTTCCCCCTTCGCCTTTCCCTGGCCGACTTTCTCCTCCCGGTCTGCCTCCTGCTCTTGCTGCTGCTGTCCCGCATCATCATCAGCATCATCATCATCATCATCATCATCATCATCATCATCAGCATCATCATCATCATCATCACAAAGATCATCACAAACATCATCACAAACATCATCATCATCATCATCATCATCATCATCATCATCATCATCATCATCATCATCATCATCATTACCATCATCATCATCCCTTCCTCCTTCTCCTCCTCCTCCACCTCCTCGTTCCTCATCCTAGCCGTTCTGGCACAGGACATTGTGTTTGTCGGCATCCACTTCAGAGAGACACGAGGTGCCAACGGGCCAAGATTGGCACGATTTTTGTTTCCAAAGGCGCAATGGCCCCGAGCAAACCACTGCCGTGGGGCAGCTCCCCACCACGGGCTTTTCCCAGCCCATCATATGCGCGGCAGCGGCCCTCATGGTGCAGTCTTCCGTATCTTGGTATACACCCTGGCCCTGGTGTTTTTGGCTACGGCAACGGCGGCGCTCAGCATGACGGCCGTTGGGCGTGTGTGTTTCCCCGACTGCCGATGTAAGAAAAAAGGTTACCGTTCGGTTGCCTGCAAGCATTGCAAGCGGCCCCGGGGCAGGCCCAGGGCAGCTGCCTCCAGGGGTATGGCCAGAACCGACGCAGCGGCAGCAAGGAGATGGACACCAGCAACAGCGAGCGGCTTCAGGCCAACGGCTCAACGTCGGTCTGCAGCCACAGCAGTTCGACGGCTATTTGGCGACGGAGCTCCAGCAGTTCATTGATGCCGCACACAAGCACAACGACACCGCCAACGTCAAGCTATACACGGTGGCCTTCGAGCGTGACGAGGCCAAGGATCGACCAGCACCTCCTAAATTTCTTCCGCGACAAGCCAATGATGCTCATCAGGCGTTTAAGATCATTGAACGACGGCTGGCGAATGCGCTGGACGAGTTGGATCCGGCACGCGAGTGGGCCATTAAGAAGCACAACGGCGTGGTCAAGTACCAGAAGAAGTTGGAAGAGCAGGGCCACATCCACACGGACCTCATCGGCCAGCTTCATTCCTCGGCGTGCAAGCAGCAGGCTCCGCAGTCCGTCAACCACACCGCCACGCAGATCAACGCGCGTGAACTCGTGGACGGCAAGCATTGCGACATCAGCAGTGTTGGAGCGGATGAGATGCTTGGCAGACCATCGGCAGAGTATTATTCTTCTTCAGAAGACATCGAGTTACTTCAGACCAAGCAGAATAAGTTGCTTGCTGGCGCGCAGCAGATGGCGAGCGCCATCTACACCGACCTGACCAAGACCCTCGACGAAGCGAAAGGCGACTACCGAGAGGAATTGGCCTGCTTGCCACACAAGAGGCGGAAGGTCAACGACGGCGCAGCTTCTGGCGGAGAAGGCACTGGCTCGAATTCGAGTGGCGGCGGCGGCCCCGCGGCAAGCGCTGCTGACGAACAAGAGCAGGGCGCGACTCTCGGCTGGGATGCGCTTCGCGAGCGCGCCCAACGCGCCGTCGCATCGGCTCCTGAGCCGACCTTTCAGTCAAAGGATGCCCCCCCTGGGCCACCTTCTCCAGTGGCCTACGAGGGGAACGACAGCACGCCGCGAATGATTTCTCACAACCAGCCAAGGGACCAAGCTTTTACAAGTTGCAGCTAGACGGTTCCAGTGCCCACGAGTTGAATGGCGTCCTCAGAGCCCCAGTCTACCCAGGCCGCGGTGATTTTGAGTTAGTTTTCGGAACCATATTACCCTCCAGCTGGACGTCGGCGACACCCCGGCTGTTAAAATCCCCCGCCCAAGTAGTTTCAGTTCAGGAGCATCACTTAGCTAAAAAGGCTGCGATTGAAGAACCGTCCGCTTGGGCTCGTCGCCACGGCTGGCTTGCTCGAATCTCTCTTGCCCTGGTAACGCCCGAGGGGGGCGCGTCTGGTGGCACGGCGATCTTGGTCCGAGGTTGGTCAAGTTTTTGCGACGTGACTAAGGGCCTCGATTCCATTCCAGGCCGAGCTGCAACGCGCTAGACCCAGGTACCCGGGCAGCGTTACTACACTGCGCCGTTCGCTCTTCCTCGAGAACCCCGAAGGACTATCGGAGTTCAACTTCGGCATTGTAGCCACGGTTGGAGCCCTATAGCATTCCTGCCCCGCCCCCTATCTCATAGGGGCGACTTTAACATGCCCCCCACCGAGTTGGCCGAATGCGATTTCGCCGCTGGCCTGTCGGCCAACATTGCTCACCCAATGGCAGCCACGTCGCGCGCCTGCGCAGCCGCGGGGGAGGGAAATCTCGCCTAGACAATTTTGCCTGCTGCCCCGGGCTCGGCAATGGCATTGCCGGCCACTTCGGTCGCGCCGGTTGCTGGCGCTCGCCCGCGCCGGCCCGTCAGAGCACGTTCCCGCCGAGCCACTGTCGACCTACAGGTGTTCACCTTCGCGCGACCACCACCCGTTCCCGCCCCGCTCCCTATATTTAAAGTTTCCACGAGCGGCTTGCCGGCGCGAGCCCTTGGACAGCGCCGAGCACGCTTTGCATCTGCTCCGGCCCGGGGCCCCCAGGCCCTCGATTCAGCGCCACCTCGATCTGCTTCATCGAGGGCGCCTGCCAGATCCAGCCCCCCATCCAAGGCACTCGCGGCAAGGTGCACGAGCTGGCCTGGAGGTCAGTTCAATCTCAGGACCGCAGCCGCAAGCCGACGCGGCCCGCCCTGCGCGCGCCCCGCTGGCAGGAAGGCAACGCGCGCCACCTCAGCGCTTTGCCCTGGCACTGACCGCTGGAGCCAGGCCCATGGCATATCAAAGTTATTGTTTTCTCTCCCAAGGACTTCAACGATCACCTCACTGGCTTTCCGGAACTGGCCCAGCGCGTCAAGTTTCACGTTTCCCCGATCGCTGAGGATACTGCTTTCTTTGGTCAGGGCCACCTGTGGCCCGCCAAGGGGGTGGAGCTCCTCGAGGTGCTCACCGAAGCTCTCAGCAGCTACCCAGCCACCGCCAGAGCGGAGGCTGCTGCGAGTTGGAAGGAGCGGCTCTGCGACGGCATCGAGGGACGGGGCACGCGCGCCCACGACTGGACTCGATCTCTCACCGCTTGGACCCCACCCACACCGCGTCGCCCAGAAGCAAAGTTCTGGCTGACCCAAAGAGATTCTCGCGGACGGAGCGCGCTTCTTTTCGGACCTCTGGAAGGCCATGGAGGCGCCTGTCAAGGGCCAGCAGGGTTCGCCCCCCATTCGAACCCCCATCCCCTGGATAGTGCCCGACATCATCCGCCGAGCCTCGCGCTCTCACAAGTTGGCCTCGGCTGTCGGCGTGGATGGTTTCCACGTGCGGAACGTCAGTGCTCCGAGTAACCCCTCTCTCCGCGCCCTCACGTCGGCTTGGTCGGTCATGGAAAACATTGGCTTGATTCCCAAACCGATTTGCGTTTTGAGCGTCGCCTTGCTCGAAAAAACTTTCGGGGGGGATGGAGACCCATAGGTATTTTTGCTGTTCCCCACCGGATCTGGGGAAGACCGCGGCGGCCCACCCCCCAGAGCTGGGAGGCGAGCACGCACAGCTCACACCTCGCCGCCCGCGCGTTCGCAGGAGCTGGCGACGTCGTTTGGCGCCAGGCGCTTCGCCCCAGGAGTGCAGCGCGCAATTCGCAGGTCACTTGCAGCT